AAAAATACACCTCAAAAATCTAAAAAAGAAATTTTTACTTTTTCACATTGAAATTTTTTTTGTAAAAGATCTATCAAGTAGGATGACTTTGTGCAAAGAAAATTAAGTCAAGTGAAATAGAAGGACTTAACAACAACTCTGAGATAATTATTTTAACCATTTCATTTTTGTAAAGTTTCTTTTTAATGTAGGAGTCTATGTCAAATTGGGAGGTACAATCATAAATATTTTTCTGTATTGTATACAATATAATTATTCTCAAGTTTTTTAAATCATGTTTGTAAAGAAACATATTTTGCAGAATAATTCTGTCAATAATGTGTTCATTTATTTTAATAAAGATTGATGAATAAAACAGCAGTGGAAATAAAAACATAGATTATTTCATCAAAAAGATATAGGTTTCAAGAATGGATTCCATTTGATAATTTTTACAAAAGGTGATTTTAGAAAATCTTAGAAGGGGATTTTGAGAAACTCTATAGACAGGACAAACAGCAAGTTGCATAGAAAATTTAAATAACTCCAAATATGAGGATATGGAATTTTAAATGAGGTAATTCATTGTTTTTGCTCATTTTCATTTAATTGAATTTTTTATTGTATTAGTATTTATTACTGCATCTTATTTTAAAAGTTTTAAAATGATCAGTTTGAGTCAAATTTTTTGTAATTAAATGTTATAGAGTAACCAAGATCTAAAAACAAGATGGAAATTCACATCAATTTTTTATGCAGTAACATTTGAAAAATTAACATTGCAAAAAAAAAATTGATTTATTTTATAATATTATCTTTGAAATTAAAGAATTTTATCAAAAGAAATGTTGTGTTTACATAGTAGCAATATTCTTATTTATAAGATTGCTCAAGTTCTTTCTTGAGTGTTTCTCCTGCTTCAGCTTCTCAGCTATAGGATATATATTTTAGTTTTTCATAAATTGCTTTAACATCACATTTGTAATAGTAGTATAGTCAACTCTCTGTAAACTCACCCTGGACCAGAATCAAAGTGAATTTATGGATGGAATGGAATTATAGTAGGTAATTTTATAAGTTTCATTAGTGGATGGTATAGAGAAAATACACTTACTGAGGATGCATTTATAGAGAGTTGAATGTAGTAGGGGTTTGCCCCTACATCAGTAAATTTTTTTTAGGCATTACACCATTTACGAAAAAATCTATTTTTTGAATTTGCCCATGATTTACATAGGGAGCGATTTTCTACTAAGGTATTTCTAAGATGGATCGAAAGCCCTGGTTCCTGACTACATGTTAATATATGTTTCATTCCTGTAGCTTCGATTTCAATGAAATATTCATGTTTAAAATCGGATGTCCGTGAAAAATTTCGCAAATAATTTTTACATAATATTTTATAATGTGATTTATGAGATGGAAAATTTTGAAAAATTTTCTGTTAAATTTTTTTGCGAAATTTTTCACAGATGTCTGTGAATATCTCAATGAATGTTGATGCTATATCTACATGTAGCCAGGAACCAGAATTTTCGATTCTTCTTAGAAATACCTTAGTAAAAAATCGCTTCCATCACCTAAACGCGAATGAATTTAAAAAGGATTTTTTTAGGTGCAAATTTCCAAAATATTTATGAAAATTTATGCCTAAAAAAATTTCCTGATGTAACTTATTTTTATTAAATATTGGTTTATTTTATTCACATCTAAGTAAAGTTAAATCTTTCACTAGATACTGTGAAAAATACTACTAACTAAAGTGATAAATATTGTTTTTGTCTACAATTTGACATAATATAGTTGGTGGCTATCTTTAAAATCTATCGAATGCACATAGGTTATGTTCAAAGACTAAATTTATTATTTTTTAACAATTTCGTTTGAATTGTAATTTCTCTATGGCATCAGGAAATTTTAATAGTCTGTGCAAATTTTTATCTATATTTATCTGTTTTTTCAATTTGCTCTCAATTTGCGAGATATAGAGCGATTTTTTACTAATATGTTTCTAAGATAGAAAGAAAGGCCTTGTTCTTGGCTACAGAATGACATGCGTTTCATTTCGGTATCATCAATTATCGCGGAGATATTCATATCTAAATTTGACGTCCGTGAAAAAATCGGGTGAAAATTAGCAAATTTTTTAATCTTGAAAATTTCCACAAATTTTTGCACGATTTTTTCACGGATGTTCGACTTTAAATACAAATATCTCCGCGAATATTGATGCTACTGGAATAAAACGCATATCATTCTGTAGCCAAGAATATGGCCTTTCTTTCTATCTTAGAAATATTATAGTAAAAAATCGCTCTATATCTCGCAAATCGCGAGCGAATTTAAAAACAGAAAAAATATAGATAAAAATTTGCGCAAATTTCGTCTAATAAAATTTCCTGATGCATATATAGATGTTTAATTTTATTACAAAGTATATCCTATGATAGCCCTAGTTTAGAAGAATCTAGTAAAAAAAGTTTGTACAATTTAGATGGTCCATTGGGACACAGTTAGCATTTTAATTTAATAATTTTTTTAAAAATTTTCAGGTGTACATTGGGGTATTAAAAATTACTGGGCAACTAGAATTATTAAAAAAATTATTAAAACTTTTTTTATTAGATTCCTCTAAACTAAAGCTATCATATAATAAATTTTTTGTCAAAATTGAATGTCTACATGTGAAATAATTACGCCTTAAATAAAACTGACAAAAAATAAAAAATTTAATCTTTGAACATTACCCATACTGGGCTTGATGGATATTAAAGGTAAAGGTAGATATCAATTATTTTACAAGAAATTGTATCTAAAATAATATATACAACTTTATTTAGAACAATTTTCGTAATATCTAGTGAAAATTTGAACTTTACTCAGGTGTTAATAAAAATGGCCGAAATTTATTAAAAATTTTAAAAAAATAAAAAAAAATCTGAAAATAGCTATCAAAATTCTACATATAAAACTTTTTTATTAATATAGTAATATAAATAACACAAAGTAACATTAAATCGGAGAATATATAGTATCTTATGTAAAGTATTTTGACATATTTAATTAAAATCGAGCAGATAATTAGTGATTAATTCTAGAGAAAAATTTTTAAACATCCAGTGTACAGCCGTTGGTCTTAAATTTAATTTGCAAGTAAAAATTCTATAACTTATTGGCTTTAAGATTAATTAGTAACATATTTGCTATTTATTAAAAATTATAAATATTTATATGTAGAAACTTTTGATAGTTAATTTTTTGAATTCAACGGTAAAATGATCGACATTAATGCCTTAGAAATTTGCAAATTTATTGTCGATCATTTCATCTTTGCAAAGCAAAATTGGTAATCAGATGAAATGTCACGGGGGGATGATATTTTGTGACACTAGATAAACTTTCAGGTGATTGTTATCTTTGTGTAGCCATCCATAATATGCCGTACGATGAAGAGTAAACAAAAGAGAAAGTATAAATACGACTGTTGTTGGAAGTAAGTTAGTTAGTTAGTTAGAGAGAGTCAGTTAATAACAGTCACAAGTTAATTATAAATTAATTGATAATTAGAAATAATTCAGAATAATTTGAAATACTTTATTAAAATATAAAAATATAAAGTTTTTAAAAGTGAAGTATCAAAGGAAATTTACTTTTCTATTCAATATTTATTAAACTTAAATTTTGTGTTGTAATTTTGTGAAATACTATTAAATATTGTTTGATACTGCATTACTACTTTTATTTTACTCCATCTTACTCACTGTGCCTTCATGATTAATTGATTATTATTTGATTATTATTATTATTTATTATATTTATTATCTGTTTTGAGACAGACCAGTTAAATTGATTGTATTAGCTGTGACCTACTGGCAGATAGAGCGTATTATTATTTGTTTGCATGATACAAACTGAGAGACTGATTTGAGAAATTGTTTGAAATACTCTGCACTCCTGTGACAATATTAAAAAATCTGAAAATAATTATCAGACCTTACTACATATTAAAGTCATTATTTATTAATAAAACAATGAATATGTTACTAATTAATCTTATAGCCATAAATATTGAGCATTATTTTTAAAGTTTTTACAACTTTTACTTACGAATTAAATTTAATATCAACGGCTGTACAGTACACTGGACATTCGAAAATTTTTTTCTGGAATTTAATTGCTCGATTTTAATTAAATATGTCCAAATGCTTTACAAAAGATGCTATATATTCTCAGCTACAATGGTATTTGGTGACATTTTATTACTATTTTAATAAATAGAAACTTTTATGCAGAAATAATTGATAATTATTTTTTTGAAATTTTAATAAATTTCGGCCATTTTTATTAACGTCTAAACAAAGTCCAAATTGTCACTAATACTATGAAAAATCATTCTAATTAAAGTTGTAGATATAATTTTTGTAAGATAGTTGACATCTACCTTTAATATCCATCGTTTCAAAGATTAAATTTTTAGCTTTTTTGTTGAGAGTTTTTACTCCACATGTAAGCATTCAATTTTGACACAAAATATATCATATGATCTAATAAAAAAAAGTTTGTATTTTAAATTTAGTAATTTTTTTTATTAATTTCTAGTTGCCCGGTGACTTTTGATACCCCCTCTGTACATACATATATTCGAAATTTCTATTTTGCATAAATTTTTTCTCGAGTTTGTCATAATTTTTTTTTCTTAAAAAAGCCAATCACTATGATCGAAAAAAAGTAAATATATATTTGTTGGAATTATGGAATTATCGACAAAAAAAAAAGAACGAAGTAAAATAACTAAAATAAGTAAAGTGTAAAAAATAGGAGTGCGGGAATGTGTTCGCAAAAAGAATGAATAAAGTTGATAACAAGAATGCTAAACATAACTATACAAATATACATAACTACACGCAAAAAAAAAAATTTCATATGTTCATATTTAAATCTATAATATATTCGATCGATAATTATTAAGAATAATACTGTAGCGTTGCGTAATGAGACGAATTTATTTGTTATTTTTTATTTTAAAAACAATCAAAATCGATTGGACCGATGTCTTCTATTGTTAATATAATTTCAGCATGTTCTACTCCTGTAATGACAGTACGCACGAAGTCATCTGGAATATATTCAATTCCATCGGGTGCCCTTATAACAAATTGTTTTCCGGAGGGAAGTGATTTCTTAATGGCGAAAGAAATTAAAGACGAAAAGGTTGTATTAACGGTAATGGCGATTTTCTTTTTATATATTCTTGAAGGAGAACGGATAGTAACTGATTTTAGAACGGGAATAAAGGCACCTAATAATAAAGAAATGTCTAATTAAAATCTGTTTTAGCGGGGATAGTTGTGGATCCGGAATAAGATGAATTTATCTCGGAACAACAAGTGCTTTTAACAGTTAATATATGATTCAAATGAATGAATAAATGAATAATAATAATAAACTTACCCATTTGTGAATTAATTGAATTATTAATTAAATTATTATGAATTATTTGTGGTGGAGTGATATTATCGAAATTAGTATTATTATCATTATTATTATCGAAATTATTATTATTATCATTATTACTATTGAAATTATTATTGTTGGTGATATTATTTTTGAGATAAATGACCAATTCAAAAATTTCTTTACGTTCATTAAAACTTGTCCAAAAAAGAGCGAAAGCTTCTTCGTTATTCAAACTATAATGTACAAATGAATCTTTTGTACAATTACGATAAAAGAGTTGAGAATCATCAATATTTCCTCCCCAATATTTACTAAGGTCGGCGGCGGCTACATTTTCGTAAAGTTTTCGAAGGTTTAATAGTGGATCTGTATATTTTAAGTTATCAAGGTTTACTTGGGCTATCACATCCAAAATTTTTGATGGTACAGTTTTATTATCAAAGCATACTATCGATATTTGTTTCACTATAATTATAAATACAAAAATACAAATAAATAAAGCAGTTTTTGCAAATATTAAAAATGAATGTGGGTTAAGAACAGATACTTCATACATTACCATCAAGAACTATAGAATTTTCTTCAGGAGTTGGAGGAATTGGTAAAATGGTATAGGAAGATTCTGGTTGTTTATTAGATCTCATAATATCATCCTCATATTCTTTCAATTCATCCAAGGCTCTTTTAATAATTGGTCCAAATATTTTTCCATCCCAACCAAAACCTAATGCGAGGTTATAGGCTTGAATGTGTTGCAAATATTGTTCTAAAGAACCAGATTTTATTAGTGATTTCTTTTTAGAATCAATATATTCATATAAAGTTTCCTCAGTAATAGGAAAATAATTTATAGATTTTCCGTTATGTAAATTTTTGATAACATTTATGAAATTAGTTACTCCCACCCGAGAAGCTCGAGTATTAATGCTAGGTCGTTTTTTTGCACGTTTTACTTGAGAATATTGCGATTGGGTTTGTAAAGTTGGAGATAATGAACGAGATGACCTGGATGACATTTTGAAAAAAAAATTTTAAAATGATTGGTATATTTAGGTGTAATGATCAAGGATAATTTATAGATTTGAAATTTTGAGAAAAAATACTTTCGTTATTTATATAATGGGTCAGTGCACTTTATTGAATATTTAAATTTATTCATATAAATTGCTATAATTAGTAGTGGATAAAGAATTAAAGATAAATAAGATAAAATTAAAGTAATTTCTTGTGTGCATTTGTTTTTTTTTTTTGAATTCAAAAACTTATTTTTCGAATATTAATTTAAAATTTTTTTTTTGAGAATATTGCATGTATGCATTCAGTCATTTCCTATTATAAAAATATTTACAGTGCTATTAATCTATTTATAAACCATTGATGTAAGCGATATGACTTTAAAAAAATTTTTTCGACTACAGAAAAAATTAGTTAACAGTACATAAAAGTGAAAACATATTGTATATTTTCTTTGTAAACAAATTTAAATTTTTTCCTACTATAGAATATAAACTTATATAAACTTTAATCCATTTTTAGAGTTTTTGAATGTAAAGCATTAAACCCAATTAAATTCAATTTTTAAATTCATTCATTCATTCAGTTAAATTTATCTACATGCTTTAATCATAATCTAAAATTAACGAACAAAAAAATAAATTTCGGTCCGAGCCATAAAGGAAATTAGTATTGCCTTTATTCAATCATATAAAAATAATTATATGACTAATTGACATAATCGTAAAAATGACTCTATTTAATTCTTTATAACTATTGTGAACTTTATTCGGATAACAAGGAGATATATGAATAAAAAACGTAAAAAACAACGTAAACAAGAAGATAACATTTAGTTATTTGAAACCTTTGATTTATTGCTTGTGATTACATTTAATATAAATATATAAATATATAAATATTATACACTTTAAAATTTATTATTTTTACTTTTTTTTTATTCATAAAAGAAAATATTTATGTAATTCTGATTATTATAATTTTAAGATTTATTTTTTTTTTGTTTATTTGAATGGACAATAATAAGATTATTAGATTATCAAGAGAAGAATACGATCATAAGGAGAAGAATAATAATAAGGGGAATGAGAATAATAATAAGAATTTGATCATGATGTGATCATAATAATATAAAAAAAGTACATTGATCATAAGATCTAAAGTTACAGTACAGCTTTTAATTTAGGGTAATGATAATGATTAATGAATTTTTTTTTTTAAATGAATTAAATATTTATCTAAATAAGAATTCGCGTGAATATATTCTTCACGCACTAAATATATTAAAAACATTAACACATTGAAAGTAAATAAAATCAATAATATAAACATACAGTATAGAGTATAAATTGTTGCATAAATAAATTATAAATAATATAAAATAATATAAAATATACAATAATTTTCTTTTCGTTTTGTTAAAATTTTCACACAAGATAATATTTAAATCTGATCATTCTCTAAACTATTGCATGCCATCATCAAAGTAATGGCATCATAATTTCGCGGTTATGTCGATTTGGCAAACCAGCCCCTTTTTTCCTTCTCTTTTTAATAATATCAATAAAAAAAATAATACATAATTAAAATAATCTTTCAATTAATAATTTAAATAATTAAAATAATCTTTCAAACAATAATTTAAGTAATAAATAATAACGATATCGAAATATTTCATTTATATAGGTATGAAATATATTTAAAATTCATATTGTGCATTTTATGACGAGAATTAAATTGGAAAATCATTATAATTATTAGTTATTCTTATTAAGCTAAAATAATGAAGCGTAAAAGAAAACCCATGTAGACATTCATACTAGCCAAATATATTTTATAGGAGTTCTATATTTGATTCAAAGGTTATTTTAATTATTAATTTTAATTACTATAATTAATCTAATTTAATATTATTAATTTAATATTTAATTGTAACAAAGCTTGGCTTTTTTAAAAAAAAAAATTAAAGAAAAAAAAATAAATAAATAAATTATAATCTAATCCAAATATTAATGATAATAGAACAAGGATGCCCAGTATAAAGCAAATAAATAATATATTAAATTTTATGTTCCATATATTATATAAAAAGAGTTGATAAAGAATTAACAAATAAAAAATTTTAAATTAATAAAGTAATCCATATAGTTATTATTAAGGGCTAGGGCAACCGCTGTTACATTAAATATTTCTAGGAATTTATGTAACTATGTAACATGATGCTTATTTTGCATTTTTCTATTGTTATAATAAATTGAATTATAATTGTAATAAATAGAATTAGTTACGATAATGATAATGATATCATAATTTTTATTGTTGTTATAATAATTATTATTTTCATTGCTTATAATTATCATTATTTATAATTATAATAATTAATTAATTATTTATATATTCAGCTATTTGAGTAGAAAAGAACTTTTCATTTAAAAATTTTTTTATAAATAGTTATTTTTAGCCCCGACTAAATATCAGAAATAAATATTTACCCATGAACAAATAGAACTTGCATTTTATATATTACACAAAATTGGCGTTTGACATACGTATTTCGATCGAATTAATGCATGATGAGAGTTTTTTATTGGAAATATTGTTTTCTATATAAACGCCAAAAAAGGAAATCATTACTTTTAGGAACAATAATTGTGTTTTATGCGCATGATATTTTTTTTTGTTTATATGGAAACAACTTCTTCTGTACCACAATGCCATTATTCTTATTTCTATTGAATATTCTAAATTTGGATAATTGTTTCTAAGAAATAAATTTCAAGAATTTACTTGTAAACCTTTTGAACTAAATATAAATATTATTTCTTTGCAAAATATAGCATCGAATTCTCTCGTAACTTATTACTATTATTATTATATGGTATTTCTTTTAAATATATATCACGTCAGTGATGGAAAATGAATATGAAATGAATCACCAATGCATCACGTCACGTGTACAGTATTCATTCGTTAGTTTTTGCTTCTATAAACTCTCAATCAGTATGCATCATATTCCTTCAATAAGCATCCCACAAAATTATTTCAGACATTTTTTTTTTTTGACATTTTTGATTTTACTTATTTGATTAGTTTGGGGTCTTGAGACATTAAAACCTTTTTGCCCATGGTTAAGCTTCATATGACATTCAAACTTATGCATCGGGAAATTATTGTTGCATTTGCATATATTTTTATAAAATATGTAAAGTGTATGTTTATATAAAAATATTTATATCTGCATAATAATAAAGTATAATTAAAGTATATAAATTATATTAAAATGATAATTAAGCAATTATATCTAAAATTAAAATTTTTTTTTCTGAAAAAATAATGTTTATTATAAATAGGTTTCTTTTTTTCTTTCGATCGTATCCATTTATGTAATTTAAAAGACGAGAAAAAAATCTTCTGTTTTAGTTATTGAAATCGATTTAAGATAACTCCTACCTTCTTCCATTCTCTTTTTTTCACCCATACATTTAAGCATTAAACATCACTTAAACATTTAAGAATATATTTTCTAATTTTAACCTGATTCGTATAAATTAGTTTATCTAATAACTTATACTGTTCTATACTATATGATATCGAGTACTGTAGATTTTACATTAAATTATATATAAATATATTTGGCTATTAATAAATAGTACAATACAGTTTACTCGGGGAATTGTTGCAATAGTTATGTATAATAAATGAAAATTTACGACCGAAGCAAGAAATCTGCAGTTTATGTTGTAATATCAGATTATCTTTAATAAAAAAATTATTTAAAATCAATAAGTTCTTTTTTTATAATATAAAATATGCATTCTAATTAGAAAAATTTTTTCCTGTTTTCTATTTGGAGACCTCCACATCAAAATCTGGGAGTTCGATAAGAAATATAATTACTAAATTGCGATTTTTATATTGCATGATCGGACGATTGCTGTCGGGGTCTCCATTTGTATTACTAATAATATTTCTATGAAAATTTATACGTAATATGAGCAAATATATGACACATAATGATTCATTTATAATTTTACTTTAAAATTATTTGGATTTTTTCCATTATTTTGGCGTAAGCATAATCATTTAGCTTTTCGGACTTTTGCTTATTTTCTCTCTATTTTCTTTTTTTATTAATAACAATAACAAGAGGGAATATAAGGAGAAGAATGGATCTTCCCAACGCAAAAATAGCAGCCTACATATAGATTTTTTTATACATGCGAAACGCATGAATCATATAAATCTTTTAGATACTAATATAAATTTATTATTAGAAAGAGACGATATATGCATATAAAAACACTTTTTTAATAATAAAATAATTCGTTGATTCGAGAATCTCATTGAATCAGGAACAAATCAAATAAATAATCTAATGTATGTAATATAATATGAATGTTACATCTTTTATTATCTCATTAGTATTTATGACATTTATTGATTATTACTTACACTTTCATGCCAAAAGGAAAGCACAAGATATTCTGTTAAAAATTTAATATTTCCAATTTCTTATTAGCCAACTACCCTATTCTTTTCTTGTTTTCTAAATTAGTTTATAATTTATTTGGTTATATAATTTATATCATTTTTATCATTTATTTTACGACATTGGTTCATAGAAAGGAATAGTACAAATATATTACAAACTATTTATCAAAATATTAACGCACCCTTGATTCTTCTCCTGAATTTTTTTTCGATAAATAAAAACAATAAACCTGCGTTCAACCAGCGGTCATTAGTCAAAACGGTCAAATCAATCAATCAAACTCGTAAAAAGGTTATTGTTGTTTTGAGAAAAACAGTAAAAACAACAATACTAAGTTATCAGTTTCTTAGTATTATTGCCAATTCCACCACGCTTCCGTGAAACTTTATTCATTCAAGGGTTCCCTTTTGTAAAATGGATTTATCGATTTTTAATAAATACAAATTTATCAATTCATTCTCTTGTATGTCTTTTGTTTATGTTTATTTAATCTATATTTTTATATTATTC